TTTATGTCAATGTGATTCATTTAACAGGCTGTTCACTTAACTGTAGAATGTCCATTTTAACTCTTTTTGGATGGAATTAAATGATAATGACATAAGTGACGTTCTTATGATCATGCCTTCTGTGGGTTTGTTCATTAGGCTTCACATTCACATAATTGTTAATATGTCCACATTCACTATTCCTAGATACCGTGCTGGAAGCTGCTGGGGGTCAGAGGAAGCAGGAAGGAGAACCACAGGACCTGGCTCTGAGGGTGGCAGCCTCCCTTCGCTGTCAGTGGTGAGGGCAGACCGACAGCAACACAACAAAAAGTGCCTTTCAGTGATAAGCGTGGTGTCTCAGAAACATGATTCTTTCTCATACATAAGTAGCAGCAAAGAGGCAGAGGCCTGACAGAAGAACTGCTATTCCACGAACTCTACTACCCAACCTCCCTTCACATTTAAACCGGCCCCTAAAGAACTGAGGCTCAGAAGACCCACATTTTCTGGGCTCAGTGTCCGCCCTAACTGGCCGTGTGAGCTGGGAGAGGACACATCCCTATCCAGAGCTTCATTTCTGTGGAATGATGGCTAAAGTCTCTTTCAGGTCTAACAGCTTATGGTCTCCAACAATTAACGTACCAAACAGCATCTTCCACTGGTCCCGTTACTTCCTACTATGAGGACTTTGGTCAAAGCCAAAAATCTAAGCAGTAGATTTGACCGGAGCAACTTTGAACTTGTCATGTTACTCTGATCTGCAGGGGTAGCAACTCTCTTTACAAGACATTTTTATTTTTATTTTTTTGGTGGTTGTTTTGAGATGAAGGCTCACTATGATAAAATATTAATTTGCTCAATTACATAAACGTTTCTGAGGAAATCACTTTTTGTCTTGATTTTTTCTTTACTACTTTCCAGTTCTAATAGTGCAGATAATTATTTCAAATGGTGGCAGCAGAAACTTACCAAAAAAACCCCAAAACCCATACTTCTGTGCTGTGTTTGATGGTGTTTTCCATGGAATGACAAAGTTTTTCTGGTCTGTATTGTTTAAGGTGCCTTCCCATCCAAGCTCATGGGAGCCATTCTGACTGCCGTTTTGACAGTGTCTGAGCATTGAAGGGATCCACACAGTCATCACAGGGCGTGAAAATTTCCACCTGTGCACAGCATTGTCCTTTGAAAGTTACTGGTGGTTACACAGTGCGCCCATGTTTCCTGGAGAGTGCTGGGTGCAGCAGAAAAGCTGCATCCATACATATAAGATAAATTTTGACGCCTCTCTGGGTAGATGAGGTAAGTCAAACACGCGAACAGTTCTCTCCATCAGTGAGTCTAGCGTACCCTGTTAACATTTGTAAGACAATTGCCTGGTAGCAAGGGCAACAGAGAGGAAACTCGTTTGTTAAATACTATCTTGTGCCAGTTACTGTGGGAGGCGTTTAGAATAGAGTCTCTTCTCTGCAAGCTAGACTTGAATGGGAAATGCCAGTAAGCTGTATGCCATGTGCCGCATACAGAACACGCTGCATACAGCAGTTCGGGCTCTTAACCAATATTACTCATTTCCTTATGAGAAAGGAGAAGGAATGTGGGAGAGGGCCAAGTGGAGAAGGAGGCAGCTGAGGATCGAGGAAGAGGTGAGGCAGGGCCCCCTGCCGACACCGCGGTTCCAGCGTTACAGCCTCCAGGGCCATGGGGACACGTCTGTGCTATTCAGCCACCCTGGTGGGCTGTGGTAATATGTACAGAATCCACAGGAAAGTAACGCAGCATCTGAAGATGAGGAAACCCAGGGGCCCTAGAGGCAGTGAAGCTGGAGGGTGCAAGTGTTATAGGCATCAGAAGTGGTCATTTTCATTTTCATTCTGTCACACACACACACACACACACACACACACACACACACACACACACGGACATTCCTAATTGAAGAATTGCTCTAAATGGTTATTTTTGGTTCATGACATTGCCTTGGAAAAGGAAGGAATATTCTCCTAAAGGAAGCCTGGCCTGCCGTGATGAATGATCACGCGTGTATACAACACGTGAGAAGCAGGTCGGAGAGTCGGGGTGGGCTCACAATGCACGCTGGGAAGCAGTGATGCTGTGGCCACCACCTCTACCTGGACAAAGGGAAGCCGTCCTGGGTGACAGTTTGTCTCACAGACATCTTGTGGAAAGGACGTTCAAAGAGAAGATTGCCCTGACCCCACGTTAACTGCTGCGGGAGCCTCCGTGCCGTCGGGAAATTCTCTACATGTGAGCTCTGGGACACTGTCGGCCAGAATGTTGAAAATCCTGTCGCACGAGCAAAGGGAAAGACCCATTCTGATGGAGGCTGGTGATGGAAGCAGAAAATCACAGAACAAAGGGTGACGATGGGAGAAGGAGACCTGAGCAGGCGAGATGCAGACATGCCCCTGAGCCAAATGGGGGACACTCTCATGAGGCAGGACAACATCTAAGGCCCTAAGTGGGCCAGGCATAGTGTCAGTTTATGATTTCAGAAGGCTTTATTAAATGTATGGTTCTCATTCCAAAGTTGAGTTTCCCTCTTTAGAGTGATGGCCTCCTCCTGGTGCCCTGGGTACCGCCGGTGAGAACCACAGCGTTCATCACAAGTGTGGCGTCATTGCCGGCTGGCCACGAGCACCGCTCATGTCAGAAAGTGAGGCAGCCCTGGAGGGACTCCCAGACACCCTTTCTCTGAGGGTTTAGGATCAAAACTACTCCAGAAAACTTCCAACTTTCAAAATTGGAAAAAAACCAAAACTGTGTCCCATAGAATAGCATGGCAACGCATGCCTAGTGAATGTCAATTGCATTTTGTTGGATCGGGGTTGTGATCAGTAGCCCAAGTCCTGGTGCACAGGATGCTTCCACTGAAGGTCATAAAAACCCACTGCGTGCCAGCTTGCACATGAAAGGGGCCGTTGCCAGGGAAGAGGAAAGCCCAGAGCTGGCACGAACCTCAGACACTATCCGGGCATCAGTGGCCTTGGCTGGCTTCTCATCATTAGTGCCACCACCCCCAAGGCCAGCACTTCCTCGTTCATGTGGAGGGGAAGGAGAAAGCATTTACTCTGACAGGACATCCAAATTCTTAACCTTTGCCCAGGTTGCTGACTTAGCCTGTCACTGTGGGGGTGAAGGCAGGTGCCCACTGCCTTGGCCTGTACCACCAGGAGCCAATTCCTAGGGCAACAAGGGTGGGATTCCATCAGGGGAATGTGTGTGAATCAGGATCCACCCCTGGAACCGGAGATGAGGCCACTTGCACCCCAGATTTATGTCCATAACACACAGGGAGAAGGCTGGGCAGCCGGTGTGTCTGTGACACTGGGCCACTCCGAGGCTGAACAACATAAGTTCTGGAATGTTTGTTTTGTTCCTGTGGCAAGAATTCTTACTGTGTTTACCTGAATGCAAGGAGCATACTCTATTTTTGTCTATGAGATATCTACCAAATTCGTATTTAAGTAAAAACTGAAGCGGTGAATAATTTGGTGGTCGTATGCACCAAGTTAAAATAATGACATTTATATTAATTTGTCATAGTAAGAGAACTGCAAAATAAACTACAGTGAGAGACCTTTTTTCACCTCTCAGATGGTGAAAAGCTCCTAAGTGTGGTGTTAGGTAGCTGGATCATGGCCCTCTCTTACATTGCTAGCGGGAGAGACAATTGCTACCAATTTTCGAAGAGGAATTTGGCAATAGTCAACATTACAGACGCATCTGCTGTTTTCATCTTGTTTTGCCTTCAGCAATTCTACATCTGGACTTTATCCTACAAATTTTCCTGCGTATGTGTGAAAGAGGGAAAGATTGAAAACAACCTGAGTGTCCTTCCACGGGGACTGGTTAAATGAAGTGTGGAATTCTCGCTGCAAACACCGGGCTTCCCTCGTGGACAGAGGCCTTCTGTAAGCATCAGAAATACCCCCAGATAGAGGAAGCTCTCTCTGTACCCATCAGAAACATCCATAGACAGTCAACCAGAAATGAGCCCAGGCAGAATGGGAGTGAGAAGGTGCTACACCATGTGTAGAATGTGCATTCTTCCTCTACAGAAGACGAGATCTTCTCTTGTACATTTTATATATCATAGTATTTCCATTAATGAATCGTAGGAATATACTAGCTCTTCAAAAATTAAGACATTATACAAAGTAAAACACTAAAATCAAAAATACATGTTTTTCCCAATTAATAAGCTTCCCAGGAAAGACTTTACAGAGAGATTTCTTCTTATCAAAAATTACATCCAAACCCTTTTTTGCGTCCAGCGTTGCTTCCAGTCTACTAAGGTAATAAGGTAATGTTAATAAGAGCGTATTGTCTTGAAGGCACTCTGATTTTCAATTCGAGTTTCGTTCGAAGCAATCAGCATTTTGGATCTGATATGCCCCGTTATGCCCAACCGTCATTTTGCTCTTTCGGGTTTTTCATTTGTTTGTGGTTGCTTTTATTTTCTCTTCCTCATGCCAAATTCTCTTGTGTCCCAGTCTTTGAACTTGGTGAAGAATGTCCTTCTTCCTTTCTCATCTCATGGAATCTGGTGCAGCCGCTAATTTCAGCTTGAACGTGTAGATTTTGTGTGACGATTTTATTTTGTTGTTCATGTTAACTAGGGTATACGCTTCATGAAGCCAGAACATATCTGTTTGCGCTCCATGATGCTATTGCATAACTGTGTTCAATAAATATTTTTCACGGCCAGCACAGTGGCTCACGCCTGTAATCCTAGCACTTTGGGAGGCTGAAGGTGAGCAGATCACAAGGTCAGGAGTTCAAGACCAGCCTGGCCAACACAGTGAAACCCTGTCTCTACTAAAAACACAAAAATTAGCCAGGCATGGTGGTGGGTGCCTGTGTTCTCAGCTACTTGGAAGGCTGAGGCAGGAGAATTGCTTGAACCCGGGAGGTGGAGGTTGCAGTGAGCTGAGATTGTGCCACTGCACTCCATCTTAAGCAACGGAGTGAGACTTCATCTCAAAAAAAAAAAAATGTTTTTTTACATTGGATGAATTGTTGGCACAGGTTGAAAGCTATGTGGTGACGGTTCAAATTCTAGGTTATTGGATAGCTCACAACAATAATCAGATAAATAGTTGCACTAAACAGAAAAATCTCAGTACTTAGAATACAGGGAGCTGCTTGCTGAAGACTTGACTGTAACCATCCATTTGTTCCCAAATTGCTTTTTCTCTGTAGTATGGATGCAGTCTGTCGGGGTTTGTGAAATAAACACATGGTCTGGCCTTTGGGAGCCCACAGTCACCGTAGCAGCTTGTCTTAGGGAGCTTGACCATGCTTCCCCATCCACATCAGCCTCCCCTTCCCAAAATATTTGAAATAAATATACAGTCCATCACAAATCATTTTTCAGGAAAGGGTATCTTCAGAATTGGTCCTAAGGCACCACTTCCAAGTAAATTGCTGCTCATAATCCTCTTCCATGCAGAAATTCTGGTGTCTTCACATTCACTCTTCTGTCTACCCAAACTGATTTTTAAAAAAATATATATTTTAAAACGGAAATGATAAGAATTCCTGACTATTCTGAAAATCTTCCATTAAATGCAATCAAATTCTTTCTTTACAAAAGACATGTGTTCACACAGGCAGCGTGTAGATTCTGCAAAATGATGACGACTGTCTCTGTTCTCCTTTCTTCCCGTGTTCATTTCCCATTGACCAAATCTATTTATGGTGGCTTCTTTGATCAGTTCTTCTATCGGGTCCCTGCTGCCACTACTTGGCTATTTTCTGGTATACCTCTCTATATATTAATCTTCGGAAATAGTGCTTTATGGTAATTCCTGGGCTCCATAGAAGTGCGATCAAAAACAAGGAGGCCGCATGCTGAAACAAGCTACGTGAGTGCGGAGCGGCAGTTTTGGAAAGGACAGCTCGTGGCAGTTGGTTTCCTTTTGGCATTTCCCTGCAAACACCGAGCCCCTTCCGGGTGTTACTGTGGAGGAAGCAGGCTGGCACAGCCTTCCTCAGTGACATCAGCACCCTCTCCCAGCAAATCCTTGTGCTCCATGGACTCAAATGGCCCCTGGGAACACGTTCACGCTGCTTGAGTTTTCTCCAGAATCCAGTCCACGTACTCGACCACGTTGGTGTAAATGCCTGGCCGCTCCCTCTGAGCGCAGCCTTCGCCCCAGCTTGTGATGCCTACCAGGTGCCACACCTCGTCATGTTTGCAGGACAGGGGGCCGCCCGAATCTCCCTAGAACAAGGAGAGGCAAGAAAAGGCACAAGATCAACTCAGACGCTTCCTGTCTTCCGTACATCTTACTCAGGCCGATTTTGCCTAAAATGTTGTCTTGGCCCTTTAATATACCGCAAAGAGCCTGGGTGCTTGCGTTCATCCAGTCTCCTCGTTTCAGATTTCAGTCTAAGTCAAATGAACACACTGTGTTCCCTGCTCACTGGCAGAAGGCTTCTTTTTAAAATACATTAAGCATTTCAATTTGCAAATATTCCGTTGGCTAAGAACACTCTGTTACCTTGCAAGCGTCCTTCCCTCCTTCCCGGTAGCCCGCGCAGATCATCTTATGGGTTATTTTATGTCCTCTGTATCTCCTTTGGCACTCTTCATTGGCCACTAAGGGTATCTTGGCTTTCTGGAGAGTATTTTGTATTTTGTCTGAAAAAAAAATTTTGGTTTGTTTGTGAAATAACCATATTATAATACATATATGCATGTGTGTGTGTGTGTGTGTGTATATACACACACACACACACATATATATATGTATATATATGAGAGAGAAAGAGAGATGGAGTCTCACTCTGTCACCTAGGCTGGAGTGCAATGGTGCAACCTTGGCTCACTGCAACCTCTGTCTCCCAGGTTCAAGCAATTCTCCCAACTCAGCCTCCCGAGTAGCTGGGATTACAGGCACCTGCCATCATACCCGGCTAATTTTTGTATTTCTGAAGAGACAGGGTTTCAGCATGTTAGCCAGGCTGGTCTTGAACTCCTGACACAGGTGATCTACCCGCCTCGGCCTCCCAAAGTGCTGAGATTACAGGCATGAGCCACCACGCCCAGCCGCATATATTTAAAATAAAAATCATGGCCGCTGTGTTGGCGCAGGCCTGTAGTCACAGCTACTTGGGAGGCTGAGGCAGGAGAATTGCTTGAACCTGGGAGGCTGAGGTTGCAGTGAGCTCAGATCGTGCCACTGCACTCCAGCCTGGGTGACAGAGCTAGACGATGTCTCAAAAAAAAAAAAAAAACATGGCTATATAAAAATCTAGAAAGAAAAAATGTTAGGTTTATTTCACAGACCTTTTATAATTACAAGTATGAAGAAGATGTTATTCCCACTATTGTATGTACCATTTTGTTAATGTTAATTAAGTCCAAAAATTAATTACGCCTCTAACTGAAATGACTTCCCAGAGAAAGTAATTGGATAGCAGGCTAGAACATTTACTGAAAAGTGCTAGGCTTCACATTAAACTTCATTAAATATAATTAGTCTTTAAAGAGGCTTAGTCATATTTAAAATTTCCAATCAAACAGATGAGGCATCAGCCTCGCTTGGGTGATTTCTGCCTCTCCATCTCTGTTAATCCTCTTCCTGCAATTGAATAATGTGACTTGAGTTGCACTTCAGCTACATGACTTGATAGGGCAGAAAAGACTACATTCTTAATTTTTAGGACTGAGCACATATAAAAACATCATTTTTACCTCTTAATTTTCTGTACCCCCATCCAGTCACCCAGCAATCAGTGTATATGACATGTCTATCTCCTTTTGAAGGCAGGCATATGGGTCGTTGAGAATCTAAATTTAAAAAGTCACGGTTTAAATATCAGAAGCCAAATATATCCTCTTTTCCAGAAGAGCCTCTCTTCTTTCACTGTCCATCATTTGCGTTTTATGTATTTATTATACTCGGTTTTTTTGCCTTGTTGTCATATACTCTTCTCCCTGAGGTTCAGCATATCTCACCCATGCCAGGGTGAAAGGACAAGAGAAAGACAAGCCTCACCCTCCCCAGTGACGCCTCCATCCAACTCAGCTCCTGGTCCTGCACAAGTTGCTTAATTGTCCTGACCTTCATCCTTCAGCCATAAACTATCTTTACTGAACTATCTTTCGACTACCTTATCTTTACTCTTCCAATGTATTATGAAATGATGTCATTCTACGCACCTGGAGAAGCCTGAGGAAAACACATCTCTTCACCCACAGTCCCCAGGTAAGTTCCAATAACCAGGAAAGCATGTCAGCCTTAGCAGAATGAATGGCTAGTGTCCCAGGCCTCTCCCTTTCATGATGATAATGCACAGAGAGATTGGCAGGGCCAGGCTGTAAGTCTAGTAGCGTTATACATTTTATCCAGTTCACTACTGGAGACAACGTTCCAAATAAAATTCTCCGTACCTGTGTAATTCATTGTTGTTTCCAGTTTCAACAAGGCAATATCATACCCACTTTCTGCCATTTTATATTGATCGTGTATTATTATTTCTTGAACTCCAAAGAAAGATGTATCCTCTTTTATTTCAGATTGATTTAAAATGCCACTGTAGACACGCAAAATCTTAGGTGACTCCACCCTAAGGAGCAAACAGCAGAGGGAAAGAAATTTCCTTTACTAAAACCAACCCCAAACATTTTTAAGTGTGTGACTATTTAACTGTTACTAGTATGTTCTGCCAGTGATGGGCATTCAGGTGGATAACAGTGATTTTATCCTAAGATCTTTCGGGATTAAAAAAATTCACCCTATAAAGAAAATACGTTATACACAAAAAATGAATGAGTACTCATTCCACACTCCAATACACACACATGCACGCACACACACACACACACGCACACATGCACGCACACACACACACACACACATATATTAGAAATTAGATTGAGAATGGTAAATTCTCTGTGAGTTTAGTTCCAGGCACACTTGAACACAAATGTTACTAATATTTTCTGCCAATATATATGCAGTGTGCAGAAAGAGGTATGCTCTTGCAGGGAAAGACATGAAGACCCCTCATGGTGCGGATACGCTTAAATGGGAAGTGGAATCACATGCAGTGAAGCAGCCATGTACCTGCTCCTGTTCTGATGCTGGTAGACCATGACGGGCTCTTCCTTTCTGTCTTTTTTCCACTGAAGGAATTAATTAATTTTGCGAATAAGACAATTTAATTGGTTAAAGTGTTTATTTCCTAAAATGCCAGTAATAGTTTTTATAAATATGTGAAGATGCTGAACTAGTAAAAACAGGCATGGTACTGACCCATAGAAACAGTGAGCAGCTGTTAATACCCATTGGTTTCCAATGATGGAGCCTCCACACAGGTGTCTCTGAGTGGGTAAGGTGATGTGCAGAGTCACCTGCCATGGCCACTCGCCACGAACAGACGCAGTTCCTCCAACGATCCTCGGCTTGATTTTGGTGGTACACTCTGCAACAGAAGCATTGCGATGAGCAGCTTCCTACGTCTTCCTTTCCACCAGTCATTCTGCTCCTTCAGGAGCAAGAAGAAGAAAACCTTCCCTCAAGTCAATAGCTTACCATGACCTTGAGTTGCAGAGACTTTATTGATCAAGTTGCCAAAGCAGACCATGCACATGAGAAATGGAATTGACTAAGCCATCTTGTAATTACACACCACAAAGGATGCGACCCTCCCTGTGTGGTCCTACAAGTCTTATCCTTTTTCAAATGATAACATGAATGGTTCTTTTAAGCCAGTGGTTGTCAAGTGCAGTCCCCAGACCAACAGCATTACCTGGGAACTTGTTAAAAATGCATATTCTTGGCCGGGCATGGTGGCTCATGCCTGTAATCCCAGCACTTTGGGAGGCTGAGGTGGGTAGATCATGAGGTCAGGAGTTCAAGACCAGCCTGGCCAAGACGGTAAAACCCTGTCTCTACTAAAAATACAAAAATTGGCTGGCCTTGGTGGCAGGGACCTGTAGTCCCAGCTACTTGGGAGGCCGAAGCAGGGAATTGCTTGAACCTGGGAGGCAGAGGTTGCAGTGAGCCGAGATCGCACCACTGCACTCCAGCCTGAGCCACAGAGTGAGACTCCATATCAAAAAAAAAAAAAAGAACGCATATTCTTCAGCCCCACCTCATATCCAGTGAATGAGAAACTCCAGCCTAAGTTCAGCCATCTGTGTTTGAAGCAGCCCTGCTGAAGTTTGGGAACTACCGTTAGAAAGAAAAGGCGAGCACCTTGCACTCAGGTGTGGACTGGATTCAGCATGGTCCAGTTCTCCCCTGTCCCTGTGATTCTGCTGACCATGACTCCCAGTCACTCCTGCTCCATTCACGTCCAAACTAAGGCTGATCTGCTGTGAACTTCCTCTGACCTTTGGCCTTGTTGACCGTTTGGGATTCTCTGGGGTCCTTGGTACTTTTCAGGGACTTTGACACAGACTCATCTGTGTGTTTCTTTTCTTTTGTGGTTCCCTAGACAGGACAGTTCCCTCTATTTCTACTTACTGGAGTGCCTGGCAAAAGCCCACCCTCCCGGTTGGAGCCTTGGAACCCAGTCTTTCATGGAACACAGATGGCATGGGAGTGGGGTGCTCGTAGACAGCAGTCTTCTAGAGCAACAAGACTCAAACTGTCATGCACCTGGGTAGCTTTTAAAATGCAGACTCTGACTCAGTCATGTCTGTGTGCGTCCTGAAATTCTTTCTAACAAGCTCCCGGGTGATGCCAATGTGCTGTGCCCGGATCACACTTAGAATAACGGGGCTCAGATGCTCATAGAGGCTCCCTGCCCTGAGCTAAGGAAGGAGTCTAAGTTAGCAGAGGAATCGCTGATGAGAAGTCGGATCAGAAGGCGCAATCACTAGTTTTGTGGGTGTAAAACAACCTTTCTAGGCCTTTTTTTGACTTGGTAGGAAAAAGAGTGTATAATTCTGGGCTGATTTCAAATAGAAGGAGAGGATGGGAAAAGGAGTTTGGAAGGAAGCAGTGGCTAACAGCAACCGAGGTGAGAACAAGCACAATGTGTCCTCGGAAGCCTGAGCAGAGGCTCTCACTTCAGGGCTGGCAGGGCCAACATTCGTTTTGGAGGGCCCTATTCTGGAATTTCTGGGAAGCGTTTATAGTTTGCAAGGTGGGAAGTGTCATAAAGGTAAATTTTTGGAAAATTAATAGGTAAGTGGTAACTAAGATATGTTAGAAATAACTCAGTAAAGACCCTATTAGGTGCAGGTGAGAGGCCTTGATGTTCATCCTATTTTGTTACTCAGTTTAAAAGCAATGCTGAAAATATGTGTTTAGAATCATATTTTGTGTTAAGAAGTGCTTCTTTCAGTGCTGCTGCTATCTATCTTCAGAAAGTTAAGTTAGATTGCAGACCAACGACAGTGCAAGACACCACAAACATCTCAGGTGGACATTCCCCTTCACATTAGGGGTTATTTCATCTAACACAGTGCAGTAAAAACCGAGTTATCTAATTCACTCCCTCCGAAGGTGCACTGAAAGACAGACGAGTTTATTTTCCTTTATCTTACATTTTCTCCTGTAGCAATCAATCTATACCTGGTATATACCGTAACCTCTACAGGCCAGAGTCTGTAAATCCAACAGAGAAAAACGTAATGAAGAAGGAAGCAGGAAAATGTAATCTGCAATTTACGGAGGTATAAGTGCTCATCCCCATTTTTTAAACCACGTCAGTATCACTTAACAACAACATTTGTTAAAGGTTCCTTCCAATGCTTAGAAGTAGAAGGAAGACAACAGAATGATTCTGGATGCTCCTCCTTGACTTAGGGAAATTTGCTGTGAGGCAAACAGAATGTAAGAGATAAGACTTAATTGACGGGCTTTCTAAGGAGGCTTGAGCCCTCCAAAGATTTTCATCAGAGCACCTCTTAGCTCCAGGAAGGCATCATTTGCTAGTTAGGATATTAGTGTTGGAGGCAGTTTAACATCTTTATGTTCTACAAAACAGGTTCTCAGAAATCAAAGATTGATTTGCCTTTTCAGTACAGCAGATAATCTGACACAAAAGATTTGTATGTTTCTAAAACACTGCAAAGCATGATTAGCACTTTCATTTTATTCATAAAATCTCAGTTGTATCTTACAGTGTATTGTACTATTGAACACTTAGCAATAAATAGTCTAAGAACATGCAGCTTTATGTAAATCAGCGTATACCGAAGCCATCCTCCGTTACTATGGGAACTTAGGCAGGAGTGTTTGTGGTGTGTTCTTTCCTGTTGGGGATTTGTCCCTTAGGACAATTCTGTTTGCCTACAAACCGCCTCTGATGACTATGCTCAGATGTTGGCCACTGGGATGGAAACACTGCTGGAGTGATTTTTATTGTAACTTTTATGTTATTACAGGTCTTGTATAATCTAAACACCCCCATTTCCACCCTACCACACTCATTGTTATTAGTAAAGTTTTACCTTAACCTTTTCCAGTTCATAAATCTGCAGTAATCCTGCAGGGAATCTGAATAAAGACCCCTAAAAAGGAGGTGTCCCCGTGTTTCTTGAATAGATACACAGTTTTAGAAGAAAATGAATAATTTGACTAACCAAGGTGCTGATTGATGTTTCAGTTATAAAGGATAATGGGAAAGGTTACTGGCCTTGATAACAGGAGTGTTGGCTGAGTCTGGGTCTCACTATGAAATGTCAGTTGTAGCTGGGTGCAGTGACTCAAGTCTGTAATCCCAGAACTTTGGGAGGGCAAAGCAGGGGGATCGCTTGAGCCCATAAGTTCAAGACCAGCCTGGGCAACATGGCAAGACCCCATCTCTACAAAAAATTAGCTGAGTGTTGTGGTGCATGCCTGTAGTCCCAGCTACTCAGGGAGTAAGGTGGGAGGTTTGCTGGAGTCCAGGAGCTCAAGGCAGAGGCTGCAGTGAACACTGATTGCATTGCTGCACTCCAGCCTGAGCAACAGAGTGAGAGTCTGAGAAAGAAAAAAAGGAAGGAAGGAAGGAAGGAAGGCTGGCTAGAAAGAAGGGAGGGAGGGAGGGAAAGGGAAGAGAAAGGAAGAGGGAAGGAAAAGAGAGAAA